GAATGATGGAGCAAGTGTCCTATTCTCGGCAACCAGCAGCGATTCGTAATCTATTCTTTGAAAAATATTATTTAACTGAGCAAGTTAGATGAAAAAGTTCTGGTCCACGTCTAGATCCTAATAAATTAGACCCGTGGAAACACCAAAAATCGATGGCGCCAGAATAGATTTACTCTGCCTGGTGTGTTCAGCTTCATTTCGCTTTAGATCAACTACGTTTCGAGATGGACCAAGTGGTTAGAGCGCGAATTTACTGACCGGAAGGTCCGTGGTTCGAACCCGACCTCTGCCACTCGACTTCTCTTGTCTAGGCTTGGGCGACCTGGCAGTATCCAGGCCCTCGTGTGGCACGGCAGCTAGGCACCGAATGGGTGCTGCAGCTGAACGATTTTTTTGCCTTTCAACATCGCACGATGTTGATCCATCACTGATTCGCAGAATCGAGGCCAAGCGTTAAAAGCAATCTCAAAAAGAAATATTTCATACCCGAAAAGGATTCTTCTAATCACTGTCGTTGTTCTTCTTTTTTGGGGGGTTTTTGGGGATAGATGTTTGGTTCATAGTCACACCACTCTCGTTTGAGCGGCCATCCTCCTGTTCTAGCGTAATTGTTCCGGTGAGTCCACACCAAAGGGCGGAAGCACTAGACTCGAGTTTCGCTCCTATTAGAGCTCATCAGCAGTGCATATCCAATGGCCGTGCCGGGTCAATCGATCGTCACAACCAGAACAGTTACTGTTTCGTCGTTCGATGAACCGGGCACACCAATCACATCGCTCAAATGTGAACACGTTCGCTTGTTCAGACGTGAAAATACAGATGCATCCAACGTGCGTTGGTGGAGCAGTGGTTGCACGCTCGGCTTGCATGTAAGATATCCGGGGTTCGAATCCCGGCACTGTCATTGAATATCCACTGCTGGTAGCCTCTAATATGAGCGAAACTCGAGTCCAGTGTTCCATCTCCACTTTGGTGTGGACTCACCGGAATAACTACGCCAGAATAGGAGGACGACCGTTCAAACGAGTGGTGTGGCTATGAACGAATTAGAATTTCTCAAGACTTGTTTCATCCGCGCATGTCAAGAAGTTAGAGAGGATTCGAACCGCTCACCTTACTTGTACGGGCCAATGAATCAATAACGCTCATTCGAGTTCCGATGCAACGGATACTCGACTCGACCCTCATGCGAACGGCTCAGCAGGCGGGTCAGACAAATTTGTAAGCGCGTTAAAGAGTGCACATTGTAACTTTTATGGTATTTCTCTTGTCACTGCTGATAAATATTTTTAGGAAGCTGAGATGAATTCGTTTTAGGTTTAGACAGAACCATTGTAGCAGTTCCTCACAGACAAGAAGGTCGCAGTGCGCCTGAGTAACATGATCAACCCTGTGTCGGAAGAACGCTATGGCTCAAAAAACCACATAGTTACTGATCGCTCTGCACCGACATGGATTTGAAGGTGAATTTGAATCTCGACACACCCAGGCCGGCGTGAGTGGAACATATAGCTTTATGACATCGTGGTATTTAAACACCTGGAAATTAGTTGTGGCAGCGCAGTGAATAAGCGCCAAGAATGATGCCGCGCCATATCACAAAGAGCAGACTCTTCTCCACAGTGCATCATTTGCGAGGTAGAGTACTCCACTTTATAACGATGGATAAGGCGTGAAATGAGTTCACTCTTACAAGACATATACACGAAGAGCTTGCGGCTAGATCGGCGGGACGTACTTGTGCGCGGTTGTTGAAAGTAGAAAAACCCGATGCTATGTTAGGGTAGCCCTTCAGTGGTACAAGTCAACTCGGTAGTTACCGAGCCCCCTGGAAGGAATGCGCAAAGTGTTCTCCATAGATGTTGCTACATACTCTGCTTAGCGTCCGCCGAAATTAGTTTCATCAAAATTGATTTACCTCTCGATGAACTGAAGCGCCGGAAACCTCAGTTTCGATGTTCGAGGATCCGTTTTTGAACGTTTACGCAGAAACACTAAAGGCTATGTCAGTAAAATTTTCATGACTGGTTTCGAGCCACGAACAAAATCCGCAATCCGAAAATCTGTGCCTGACTCCAGCTGTGTTGACGACAAAGTGACAGATTGCATTCCCCAACCAATTTTCTTGGTTCCCTGTCCCTGGACACTTGGAGGAAATCCAACAATATGCGCTTGTAAGATATTTAGACAAACCTTCCATTCATAGGTCGCGTTGTATGGCTTTTTAAAAGTCAGGTGTGGCCAACTCCTACAGCCGAATTTCGAAAGAAACTTTTGCTCAGGTAATATGCTAACCTTCCTGCTGCTATTAAGTAATGCTGTAGTTAGTCCCCAAAGCTACATTGTATTTTCGCTCGGGGCTCACAAGAGGACCAGCGCCTAGCACCACCGTTTTTTCTACCTGCCGCGGTTGAAGGGAAAACCCACATTTACCAAGGCTGGTGGAGCGTGTCTTGTTGGGAGTGTGGTGAAGCGTTAACGTAGGTCCAACGTGAAGCAGTAATGGCAGATTCAATGGTCGGAGTAGAAAATACTTGAAGATTTATCGTTCAAATCATCCGGTAGGTTGATCACACAGGAGAGTGATCGTCTGTTCATACGCGGCAATTTAGGAACTGTAGTCTATCGCTTGCCTCGCCCGTTAGATGCCCGGAAAACCCATCCCGGCCGACGACAATCGGTGCTGAACGAGTCTATGGTTTTGGCGCTCATCCTGTTTTGTACCGCCTTATCTGTGCATGGTCAGACCCGATCATCGAAGGACGAGAGTGAATACAACACAGATTGGGTAGACACACGTAGTTTCCTTTCCGCATGCTACGTAAACCAACCCATGACTTCCCACTTTTCAATAATTCAGACGTTTGGTCGTTGTTAGCACGCTGACTTGACAAAGAAGCCATTCACACTTGACACTAAAACCAATGAATCAATAAATATAGTGTCATATTTAATTTGAATCAAACAGTCTGGCACATCCTTCTGTCGTTGATCACCATTTTGCTACCAGGGTCTTTCGGATAAAAGATGTTGACAACCAGCTGAACTCAAAGTGTAGGTCATTTCTGATAGAAGGTTTCATTGGAGACAGTGCAACTTGTTACACAATGTTCACGAACCTTACTGCCCCCCCCCGGACCTTTATTGACCTAGAATCTATCTGAATTGCGGTCACAGAGGCAGCTGTACCGAAAACAAAGAGGTTGTGAAACCGTACACTGATCCAAGTTCATTGAATTATATACCTTAGAACTAAGTTTTAAACACAAATTCAGCGCTGAGATATTATATACTGGAATCTACATCCGACATGACCGAAGAGTATATTCTCTACCTTAGCTGATTTGATAGCTAGGACGTGCAAATCACAAGGCTTCATTCATAATAAGCCTGAGAAAAGTGCGTGTGTGGAGGAAGAACTCGATTAGAGTGGAACCAAGGTGAATTTTGAAATTAAACTAGCCCAACAACGGTTGCTCGAATATACGCACAAATTAGTTTATGTGCTTTTCCATCAATTGCTACAAGGATCAATGAATGTGGTCATCTTTGTCAAGGACAGCCGAATCTATGTTTGCACACTACTTACTGGAGACTACTTATTAGGCAAAACTAGATTGTTTCACAACCACGAAGTCTAATCGGGTTTCATCAAAGCTCATGGCAACAAAAAGAAACACTGAAGAGAATTAAGTACATACCAGCCATCGTCTTCAAACATTAGTCAGATAACCTTGACAGGAACTGACAGGACAGGCACCAGCGGTGATCTTTTTCCGTTACTGAGCCTTGTGGTCTCACCGACCCAATTCATGAGAAACTACGGCGCCTACATCCTGGAAGGTTAGCCGCATGAATATATGTTATACGTATTTCCACTAGTCCACGCAACGCCCACCCAGCTGCTTGCGTCACTGAGAACGAAATGTACGGAGAACAATCACAAGGTTTCTCAAAATTCTTCGACAGCCCACAACCGGTTTCGCATTTCATGGGGCTTATCAGGTGGGCGCAGTCCCCGAAGTTCCATGAAACTTACGTTCTACTAAGTTAGACTGATTCCGACAAATATACTCGTTTGCAAATCAATTCGGTTTTCACGGGCGGCTCAAAGGAATCCCTCTTTTATGACATTTTTTAAGTAAATGTGCTGTGAGAGACCCTACTGGAACCCAGCTGGATCTATAGTTTCTATGATGTGCAACTGAATGTGTGTACCTGATGAGCCCCCAGAAGAGCAAAACCGGTCGTGGGCTGTCGATGTGTTTTCAGCAACTTTGTGGATAGTTTCCTTTATGAGCTCTAGAGACTACCCCTGATACTACCGGTCTTCTCCAGAATCAAACATCCTTGTTCTGATTACTTTGCTCCGAGTGCTGTCACACACCCCCACTTAGCGACATCCTTGGTTTTTCGGTAGTTGAAAATCTGGAGGCGTTTTAAATCGCTTAAACCGAAAAGAATTAAATCTTGCTGCAGCACAGTAAATACCGCAGCACGGTAGCCAAGTCACCTGTGGGAGCGGAATTGTAGCCTGTCAAATTCACATGCCTTCCCTTACTGTCAGAAAGTTTCCAACTGTCGGTACTCCACAGTTCTGTTCCATCAGTTTTACCCAAATATTTGGGAGAAAATACAAGCCTTCCAAGTGTTCTTCGATAGATCTCTGGATAGTCGGTTGAATACTGGCATTTTTTGACAGGTCTGCCATAAAACTTTGTTCCAATTGCTGTTGATTGCCGCCGAACTTGTTTCCGGGGTTTCACATCAAGTCTGCAAAGCGAATACCCCGCCCGTGCAAAATGAGACCACGCGTAGCGTCTGCCACGATCAAATCAACCCAGATGATAAAAAGTATGTTGAAATGGACAGATGAACAATATTCACGTTCAAGTATTTATGGGCAAAATGGGCACATCAAAACATACCTCAATCTGTCTTTGTGATAATTTTTGGGGGTATATTTACAGTCATCGGGTTTGGTAATCAAACGCAAATGGTCACACACTGGATATTTGCACGTTTATACTATCTGAATCATCTCCATCTAAGAGTGAATAACGTGGCGTTACGTCAATTTCCTCCGGGTCGTTTACATCTCTCTTCTCGTTTGGGGGTGATACATTTTGACTGTCTACATCGCTGAAAGAAGGCAAATTCACTTTATTCACCGGTTGTTCATGAAAAGGCACACTTCTGTTCCGGATGGCGATAAATGTTGCAAACTGACCATCATCACCGCACATTTCTGATTCTGACGGTGGAAAAATTCCGCACAGTTCTGATTCCGACGGTGGAAAAATGATCACATTTAAGTTACTCGATCCGACGGCACATTTGTCCGAATTGACTACCTGTTGCCTCCTCTTGATCGGTGTCCGTATCGGTTTTGGAACACGGGTTTTTTTGAAGCATGGATCGCGAATACCGTTTTGACCAAATTTTTGAAAGCAATTCAATTGCCAGGAGCACAGTTGTTTAAATGAATTACGGAAATCTGTTGACGTTTGCCAGTATATGAGAAAATTCAACTGGTTTGATATTAGCACAATCAGGTTACAAATGGTGATCAACCGGTACCATTGCTGGTCGGTTGACAGGGGCTGATCTGTCGGATGACTATCGATCGATTGATTGTGGACAAGTAATGCTGCTTCAAACTGAGTCTCGTCTGGGCTTTTTGCCGATTCTACCAGATGTGTATTGTAGATGCGCCACAAGCTATATGACATGATGACAACAGCCTCTGGAATGTGCGCCAGAAGAAATTTGATCAATATTGCCACAAGCATTTTGGCAACATTGGTTGGTGATCCTGCCGCTCGAGATCGATAATTTACCGGCTTTCTATTCACGCATAGCATTTTGCTGGCTGTGCAATGTCTGTCGGGTTCCTCCGATTCTCTACACTGTTCCAATACCCTACTCATCTGTTCAGAGTGAATTCTACTCACATCTTCAGGTCTCCCATACGTGGTGCCTGCACAAATTTGTAACCGAGCCCGTCTCTTGGCCGCTTCGCGCATAGCAACCACCAAGCGCGCAGTTATGACGCACAGGGAGCAACACGGAATGATGTGGATCACAAACGTACGAGCCCAGATGTAGACGATCATGCAAGTTAGACCGCACGTATTGCACTTTAGGACAATGCGGGGGAGTTGAGAATAAGTTCTAACAAGGCAGTCAAGCTCCAGAACGAAGGTTTCCGGTAGTTCAAATATCGTCGGTTGGGGTACATGCACTACAACGGGATGAACGGTAATAAACTTGGAGTGGATAATGACCACATGGAGTAGAATGCCCAACAACACGACAGCAATTATTGCTATTCGCGAAAATTTCAAGGAACACATATTCATAGCTTTTAGTGGCCAGCTGACATACACCAGTCGTTGAAGTGCCAGCAGAACCGTCAGAAAGACTGAAATAGTGTAGGTGATGGTCGGAAGAGTGACTGTTGTCCACGAGGAAATCTGACTAGCCATCAAATTTGAACTGGTACGATACATACTTTGCGATGGTAAATGCCACCAATGGGTTAGATTGTCCGATTGTGTCCGAACCTGTTCCGCTCTGGACGGCAAGTCTTCCCACCAGACATTTCGCCCGGTCAGACTTTCCGCTACATACATTGGCAAGGGGAGGAGGCTATTCAATAGTTCAGTGCATCCGATAGCCAAAAGAATAGCATAAACAGGACTCTGTACCCGCTGCCGTGCAAAGACAAAGCAAACGATTATATTTGTCACGAGGACAAGTATCGTGATCACGGGCAAGAGATAGTGAATCACTAGCTTTTTGAACCAATCATTGTGATAGGATGACGGCTGTGGATACGCACCACAAACGTCCATCAACCATGCGTCTGCGACAAAACGAAGGTTGGGTTCAGCTGAGTGAAACCCGATTGTGTTTATATCCATCCACGATTCATTTGGACTTGTTCTATGTTTGGAAATAATGGAATCGGCCAGATTTCTCCCGACAGTGTCATAAAAGATGTAGAACAAAGTTTCAGCAGTTGGTCGGGACAGGATAGAAGTGCTGGTTGAAATTTGATCCGAATAATTATGAAGGCAAGTGCGTAAATTATCTCCTAACATTTTCCATTCACAAGATCTGGTTTTGCGCCACGCAATTTGTTGAAAAGCCTTCCTTTAATATACCCCCCATGAGGATATCCAATGACCAACCGGTTGATTTTAGCGGCAGCCAATCAGAAGAGCTAAAAGGCAGACAGGTGATTGGTCGGTTTCGAAAAATTATACTGCGTTTTCACTTAATGTTTGGCCTTCATGTGAAAACGAGTGAAATTGAAAAAAATGCATTGCTGGCGCTTCAGACGAGAACGGCATTGGAATAAAATGATTCTCGGCGTTCTTGTCTAGATTAGCTCTAACTGCAGGATGAATATTTTCAATTTTCCCCTTCATTACCAAGCAGGTGTGACTTAATTGATTTTTTTTCAAATCAGCTACAAAGGCGGTTCTGTTGAATGCTAGACGTAGCGACAAATATCAACGAAATTGTTTGATTTAAAGGTGTCATGATTTCAAGTCACAAACGGCGAGGTGGTCAACTTATGATGGAGAGGAAGAATGCTAATGATATTACGACAAGTTTAGGTGTTGTGGGTGTAGTCTGTCCTCCAGTATGTAGTATGTTTAACTTCCATATGTTTGGCAGGAGAACAGAAACAGTAGAGACTGACTGATATTCGAAGGGCTAGTGAATTCAAGTTTATTTCAGATTGCGTAATTGAGCACTGTGAGCTGTAGGTAGCTCGAAATGCTTACAGTGACCAACACCAGGCCCTACTCTCATCCACCCTTTCCCCTTCTTTTCACTGTAAGCATTAGGTATGGTTAAATAAACTGTGTTCCCAGGCAGTAAAGCACCGGTCTCAACACTGGGGTTACTGCCTTTGATGACGATGATGATGATGATGCTAAGGAAACAAAGGAACAATGATGAACGCTGCTTGGAATCGTTTGAGGTCGCTGGCAACTTGATCAGTGTATATTACGTTTGTAAGGTATCTATTTTAAGGCCTTAGTCCTAATCTCAAAAACAAATGAACGTACAGGTTGTCTCTCTTGGAAAGTCCCGGGTGGCTGCTTAATCCTAGCCACTTCGCCACAAAAGCATCCAGTACGAGGTAAGGTGTACAAAGCAATATGAAAAGCGCTCGAAAACACGCAACTGTAATCCAACAAAGGATAAACACAAATAGTACAATAAAACGTATTGTGCGGTCGAGAGTACGAAATCTTTTCAAGGTTTATTAACATCACACCAGTCATTACTAAAGACAAAACAGAAAACGGCACTTAGTTTGGACAAAACACGATCAGTTTGACTTACTTTGAAGAGCAAACCAAAGATCCGCATGTTGGTAAATGCTCCTGGTCGACAAATATTTGAGGAACCCAACTTCAGCTTTACAAATACGGCGCCTACGCTGCATCGTAGACGAAAAAATTAGTCGAATCGCGGAAACGAACACAAGTTTTCGTGAACAAAACACAGTAGCCTGTTACGCCGACAACTTTGCTAATCGAGGTCGGTGTTTCAATTAGTGATTAGAACTCTGTTGTAATTTTGAAGCTCGCAGAACTGGTGATCAGCTGATGATACTACCTGACCTATCAGTATAACGGTGATACTATTGACGGGGAGGCACGCGACTAGCATGTGTCGTTCGTGGAATTTCGCTTTGCGTCTTTTGAAAAGGGGAGATCTGTTGCGGAATTCGTGGAGTGACTTTGTAACATTTGCTTGGATTTGAGCGAGGAATGATTGGCGTCAATCAATCTCCAGAAAAGTTCAAGAAGATGCGTTCAGCAGAAGATGGATGTCCAGTTTTGCAAACAAGATGCAGATTAGAGTTTTGCTTCCCTGTCTGTAACCGGTCCGTTGGCATTTCCTAATAGATAACTTCGCAGCGAATGCCTTCTTCCTTTCACCAATTGTCAGTAGATCAGTAGTACCTGAAGGCCAGCACAGAAACAAAGATGTATTACAAGTAAAAACCAATCACATACTTTAAACGCATCAGACATGTTTGTCCTGGGACTATTGACGGTTTACGTGTCAAGCGAATGAGACCTGGAGCGTATAGTCGACGTTGCATGCTGGAAGAAGCCCCATAAAAACTGTGGGCTGTCGGCTGGTATACACTACTGACCTTTTCAACTCTTGCATTATGAGTAGCAATTCACTTGTTGACCGGCGTGCATAGCTTCGCTCCCGAGTATGAAGGGACTAGGGAACTTCGAGGAGTGATTTACTTTCTGTAAAAGAAACCGCTTTAAACAGAATTGCTGTTCAACCGCTTCATCCTCAGGGAAAATCGCCTAATCTCCTCAGACTGCGTTCAGTCTACGAATGACTTGGAGAAATCAGCAGGCTAAGGAGACGTAGCTAGGTACTGAGGACTTTCTAACAGCATATAAACCTTCTTTTCGTACGAATTTGAACCACTGAATCCTCCTTATTAGCCAAATGTACAATACCGAATAAACACACTGAGGCATTTATAATTTCTATAACTATTTCGATGCCTGTACGAGGTCTCCCTCGTGTTATACCGCCACTGCAGGAATTCCCTTTTAATCAGGCTTCACCTGTGGTCGATCGCTTCCTCAGCCTAACTGTCATTTATCAGCAATCTATTTGAACACTTCCGTATGTAAAGGTGGCTGGAATGTGAGGGTTGGGCCTCCCAGGTTCTTGAATGTGCCTTGGACGCGAAAATTCGTGAGGTGCATGGGATTGTAACACATGCGTTCCTGCCGATTTTTTTTTACTTAAATCAACTTGGCACTATAAACTTGCTGAATACCTCGGAATAATCAGCAATCTTGGGGATTTTTGCGGGATGGGTATTTTGTCCAAAGCCACACTATTCTCGTTTGAATTGTCGTACTCTTGTTCTGGCGTAGTTATTCCGTGAGCTCACGGCCAAAGGGAAGCACTGGACTCGAGTTTCGCTCTCATTGGAGCTCATCAGCGGTTCATATCCAATGGCCGTGTGGGGATTTGAACCCCGGACATCTGACGTGCGAGGCGAGCGTGTGACCACTACTCCACCAACGCACGTTGGACGCATCAGACTTTTCACGTCTGAACGGGCGAACATGTTCACACTTGAGCGATGTTATTGGTGTGCAACCACTCAGGTGTTCCTGCGTGAATTCAATAAAGTTCAAGTTTGTTGAGGCCCAAAAGATAAAACCAAATTAGTTTGCAAACGAGTGTACAATCGCCAACAATTGTGTCGCGCTTTTGCGTTTGTGGAATCGAACCACTTTGTCTTTTCAACGACAAAAACAGACCAGTAAAAGGATGACGTTTTTACAAACTTTGCTCCATGTACTTTTAGAATATAGAGGCGATTCTAAGATAGTTTTTTAAACTTTATCACGACTACCAGGTAAATTTTCTAAACGGTTCACAGATTTGTATCTACCTTGAATAATTTGGTCTCTATGTTGAAAGAATCAGTGTAAACATCCTAGAATGTGCGGTTACTTTCAATCGTTTGTATGTGCACTTTGAAGACCATTCAATGCAATTTGACGTCTATTATTCAAGATCTAAGTAACGATTGATCATTTTACTGACACTGTCCCTAGTGTGCATGTGTACTTCCTTTCCCCCTGTCAAACTCTTCCGTTGTCTACTGCTGTTTACTGCGTTCATCTCATGGACTCGATATGCATCTGTAATCCCTCATGAACTTTAACCCTTGACTTGTCCAACCAGTTTGGTCAGCCATTATTTATGCGCGCTTTTTGACCATTTTCGTTACCACGTGTTGTACCCAGGCGTGTGTCGCAAAATAAGACCGATCTGCCATCTCCTCCGGTCTTTCTTTGGACTTGCACCACTTCGTGCAACAGTTTAGACGGAAACCCCCATAGTTTGAGGTTTGTACTCCTTTTATTACGTATTTTATACATGTAGTACCGCATCTTTTGATAAATCTAAAGGATCCATAATTTCTGGCTTGTGATTTTGCGCGTCACTCAAGTGGGCTCTCCTGAATACGTCGAAGTATTCTACAACATGTACTAGCAAACCATAGTTGTTGCGTGAAAATAAAGCAAACTGATGAGAAACAAAGTAAGCTCATGTGGTTTCTCAGAGTTTAACATTACTTACTGTCATCTGTGGCCTAAGTAACTCCATCCAATGTGACGATGTGATGTTTTCGTCCATCCGCAACAAATTTGCAGTTGTCGCTCAGTATTCAATTAATGTAGATAAATGGAACGCCTAAAAAAATCAACTATTTCATCTATCATCATCCCCGTTTACTACTTACAACAAAACTCTGATGGCTTCGGTCAAAGTGCCACTTATGCACGATTTATACGTAATGCAGAGAAGCGATAAGATGGCTAATTCTTTGTGGAAATACAAGCTAAAGAGGGGGGTCTACGGATAACAAATTCAAAGTCTGATTGGCTTGTGCGGAATCGCAGGTCAAACGCGCCTTTACGAAGTGGATGAGAACACTTGACAAAATTTGCTATCCTGAGAAATACTGCCTAATACTTTGCCATCTGTTTGAGAATTTTGTTCGTGCAGATGTTGATGGAATAGATCTACAATACCAACTGGTACTTTTTCAAACGAGGTGATCGTTGTAAGACCGTGCGTGAGGGGGATTCGTGTTGCGCTGTGGACCCCGAGGCAAATGTGTGGTTGGAATAGCAGTGTCACCCAAACATTTACAAATCAATGAATGGTTTCCGCTGAAATTAACGTCTCAAGAATAGAACCGGTAGTGTGCAGGGTAATGGACAATTTGTTCTCATGTTAGATCCGGCTTGATTGACAGTAACACCAGTCCACCCCTTTTGTCTATTGGTCAGTAAGTAGAATACATGAGCATAACCACGACCAACGTGAGCTG